CTACCCTAGGAACATGCTAGCGTCTCTGGAGAGATCCAGAATATAGGGATCCCAGTGTCAAGACACAGCCAGCAGGGCACCCCTACAAGCGTGGTTGTGTGTGCGCATGTGTGAAAGAGTCTCTGTAGTGTGTGTGTGTGTGTGTGTGTGTGTGTGCATACAAGCAGGTGTGAACATGTGTGCAATCTAGTCACCAAAGACCATGAACCATCACCTTTGCACTTGGCGTTGCTCAGTGTACGGCGCTTGTAGATTTCATATCACGGGGGGCGATTTTAAAAAGCTGTGCTCTCTTCTTCTTTTTGTAAAATAAAAATAAAAAATTAATTTTTGTTTCGTTTCGGACGTTGTACCTAACGGATTTCGGTAATAAAGAGAGACTTGGAGCTGGTTTTGTCATTTGGTAATAGCAACGGCTGGGGCCAATTGCCCAGCCATATGGACCTAGTGGAATGGTGGGCTGCATGGTGGATTTGTTGCGAACTTGGAGGGTTATTCACATATTAATTTTATTTATTTGTTAATTGTTCCCATGAAAATATCCCAAAGCAAACAGTTGTTTTTTTTAAAGTCAGCCATTTAAGTGATCTCAAATCCAGTACAGATACAGCTAGGGATAAAAGGCATGTCGAAAGAGGAAGCTGTTTAACAGGCAACAAAAAGACAATCGTTGGTGCCCATCCGACAAGAGGGTGTTCCAAAGGGAAGAGGCCACCACATTAAAGGCGCAATTCCTACATGATAGGGAATGGGTCTTTGGAGGAGGAGGAGTAATTAAATTCAGTTGCATAACAGCATAGGAAGTTGTCTTATACGGAATCTGACAATTCACCTGTATAGTCTACTGTACACCAATAGTCTTGACCCTTTTCAGACCCAGGACCCACTTGTAATCCAAGTGTGATTTGGGGACCTATTTCTTAATCTTTTATCACATATTTGCTGGGTGGTGGTGCTCCTGTTACGACCCACCTCGGACCGGGCCGTGACCCACTAGTGGGCCCATCCCGCCAGCTGAAGATCAGTGGCAGCAGCTCTCCAGGAGTTTCTCAAGGCTATCAATCATTGCTGGCCTCAATGGTTCTGCTCTGCCTCCATGCCCAGAGGTGGGAATGCTTCTAAATACAAGTTTCTGGGGACCACAGGAAGGGAGAGGGCTCCTTGTGCTCAGGTCCTGCTGGCCCGTTTCTCACAGTGTGGAGCCAGTGAGAGCCAGTGTGGTGTAGTGGTTAAGAGCGGTAGGCTCGTAATCTGGTGAACCGGGTTCGCTTCCCCGCTCCTCCACATGCAGCTGCTGGGTGACCTTGGGCTAGTCACACTTCTCTGAAGTCTCTCAGCCCCACTCACCTCACAGAGTGTTTGTTGTGGGGGAGGAAGGGAAAGGAGATTATTAGCCGCTTTGAGACTCCTTAGGGTAGTGATAAAGTGGGATATCAAATCCAAACTCCTCCTTCTTCTTTTTCTTCACAGGCATCTGGTTAGCCCCCGTGAGAGCAGGATCCTGCATCAGGCGGGCCTTTGGCCTGATCCAGCAGATCTCTAAGAATTATGGAGGAACAGAAGGGTGGGAAATCCTCTCAAAGTCCAAACTAAGAGAAGGCCGCAACAAAGAGACTCCGGTTTGCAAATGAGAATGCAAAACACCGTTCTCTGTGCCTTTCCCCCTTCTCTTGGTCACACAAGCAAACTGGGTCTCTCTGCTTTCTCCTAGCTGGATTATCATTTTAAATCCATATTGTATTCCTTTCTCTCTCTCTCTCAATCCAGGGCTAAATAGTGATGTGGTTGCGGACGTGGCAATCTTTCCTGATTAAGGTTTGGACTTCCAGCTTTAAGTAGATTATAAATCAAGGTCGGGGAAATGAAGACGGAGGACAGAGCAAGCATGAGGTCAGCTAACAGCCCCCCAGGCCCACACCCTCATTTTCAAGGGTCAGGGCTCAGCATCTTCAGGTATCTCCTGGGTCCTGCACCTGAGCAAAGGGCCCACTGCTGACCCCCAGCCTGCTGCCCCATAAGTTGCCCCCAACTGCCCTCGCTTGTACTTGCAACCAGTTCAGGAACAGCACCAGTTGTCAGCCTCCTCTTCTGCTGCCTTAGTTGCAACGTTTCCCCTCAGAGAACTCAGCAAAAGAGGCAGATGACGGAAAAACTGGTATTCGATGACTCCGTCTATCGTGGGCTCTGGCTCCCCCTACTGTTGGACTCCTCGCCTTCTGCCCTACCAGCCACCAGCGGTAAATACATTTCCTCTCTGCCGTTCAATTCATTTACATAAATATAAGTAATCTCCACTAGGTGGCACTGTACTGGAAAGCCAGGGGGCTGGCCTGTTATTGGCTCTCGATCTGCCTGTCATTGGCTCTGGCTCCGCCCATCCCTAGACCTCCCTGCTTTCTGCTCTACCTGTCTCAATGAACACCAGCCATCACTTTGCTTTGCTTCTCCTCCCTGAGCAGCAATAAGTGGACTCGACTTGCTCTTTCTGGGCAGTGAACTGATTGGGCCCAGAGAGAGAGAGAGAGAGAGAGAGAGAGAGAGAGAGAGAGCTTAAGGAGAAGACCAACCAATGGCATCTCTGCCCAAAGGCCCTCCAAAATCCAGAACAGATGATGCAATCAGTAGCTTGCCTGAGAGAGAGGGAAACCAGTGGAGGTGGATGGGGGATGGGGGAACTGTCCCACCAACCTCAATCTGCCTCCACCCACCTGCCTTCTTATTCGCTGCTGACCACCACACCATATGGCAAGCTGTGACACTGCAGCTTCTCAGGAAATAACATTCTGGACTGACTCTGCTCCTCTGCACTGGTCATGGGCTGTTAGGAAGGAGCGTTAAGAATAGGGTTATCAGATGTCCCCGGTTCCCGGGGACAGTCCCCGGATTTGCAAATCTGCCCCCGGGAAACATGGCAGCGGCAGCCTCAGCAGCCTGGAGCCAGCCTGGTAGCACAGTTGGCTGCGGCTGGCTTCAAGAGCTGCTCGCTGCCCATGGCACCCGCCATTTTTCCTTGCCAGAACTTCCAGCAAGGCAAAATGGCAGGTGCCACGGCAGCGAGCAGCTCCTGAAGCCAGCCAGAGCCAACTGTGCTACCAGGCTGGCTCTGGGCTGCTGACTGCCACTGCCACTGCCGAAGGGGAACTGTGGATGTCCGGCGATAGAGATCTCCTGCCCCCTTCCCCCTTTGTTTTGACTGATCAGGGGAGGCTCTGGAGTTGCAGGTGGGCAGCCGTTGCCCAATTTAAAAAAAACTCTGCACATTTATGTTTCACAGGGTGCGAAAGAAGGGCTTTGCACCTTGCCTGGCAGAGAAACCGTGCGCCTTGTGCCCCTCCTGGGCAACAGCCGCCCGCCTGCGACTCCCAAGCCTCCCCCGATCTGTCAAAACAAAGGGGGAAGCGGGCAGGAGATTGAGGGAGGCTCGGGAGTCATTGGCGGGCGGTGTGCCGTTGCCCAGTTTTTTAAAAACTGCGCATTTATGTTTCACAGGGTGCAAAAGAAGGGCTTTGCACCTTTATACAATATGCATGTGTGCTTGGGCCCAGGGTCTTTTGCCTCACCATCCCCACTACTGACTCCCTGTTGCTACTCAGCTTCAAAAAAAAAAAGTGTCCCGGATTCATTGAAAAAAATATGGTAATTTAAGAAGGCTTCTTGTCTCAGGGACAGTTTGTTCTGGTGTCTGGTCTTGCTCACCAGCCCTAACTTCCTGGCTCGTTCTAGACTCCTGCCAGTGGTTAGATGGTCCATTAGGGCAAATGGGGCACTGGGCCAGCTCCCACCCGCCTGCCTCCTGACTTGTATCCAGTCGAGGAAGGGCTCCTGCCTGCCAGCTTTCGCCTTCTTCTCCTAAGGCTGAGTGTTGCTTTGTGTAGAACTCAGCAGGGAGGAAAGTGGGGGGGAAATCAGCATCATTTGGCTCTGGCGCCACCTGCTGTTGGGCTCCCTGCCTTCCGCCCTACCAGATGCAATAGGCCCAGACTGCTATGCCCATGAACCAGCCTTCTTAATGTCACACCAGGAAGCGGGGCTTGAAGGGCAAGCTGGAAGGCAGGACAAACCAGGAAGGTGGAGTTAGCCAGCACTCAAGAAGACCACGTGGCTCAGGCCAGACTTTCACACACCTTCCTGCCCAGAAGTAGCCCATAGCCAGCCCCAGTGGGTGGAGTCATTCCAGGGCCCAAAGGTATTTCGCCAAGAAGAGCATGGCCTACAGTTCAGTGGCTGGATGCCTGACGGAGCTATTTACAAACCGAGCAGCTCCTGCCAGGTCCCATTTATTAAAAGGAATTTGACCCTCCAGGTACGTGAAGTTGTATGCGATACAAGCTGGCCCTGGGGTGCATGGAGAGAGTGGGGTATTTGCTAGCCATGGCTGCAGAATTCCCAAGGCTCTCCTGGCACCAGGCCTGCCTGGTGTGGCTCTGTTTACTTGTGCAGGGATCAGCAGCGATTAAAGGGCTTCTTTTTAATTTGATTAGGTCAGATTAACAGAGAATCTGAGCTGATGATGAGGGGCGGGGGGGGGGGGCAGGCTACGCTGACCAACCTTCCCCAAGTCACCCATAAGCTTGCAGCTCTCAAAAAAAAAGAAAAAAGAAGAAGAAAAAGAGCAAAGGAAGCCCAGCTAATCAGGGAACACACTCCACTCAAAGCAGCTCCTGAGGTTGCAGTTCTAAAAAATGACTGGGGTCTGCCTTTCCCTTGTCCCTTGTCCCTTGTCTAGCTCAAAGCCCTAAACGGCCTCGGTCCAGTATATCTGATGGAGCGTCTCCACCCCCATCGTCCAGCCCGGACTCTGAGGTCCAGCGCTGAGGGCCTTCTGGTGGTTCCCTCACTGCGAGAAGCCAAGTTACAGGGAACCAGGCAGAGGGCCTTCTCGGTAGTGGCGCCCTCCCTATGGAACGCCCTCCCACCAGATGTCAAAGAGAACAACTACCAGACTTTTAGAAGACATCTGAAGGTAGCCCTGTTTAGGGAAGCTTTTAATGTTTGATGTATTACAGTATTTTAATATTTTTTTGGAAGCCGCCCAGAGTGGCTGGGGAAGCCCACCCAGATGGGCGGCGTATAAATAATAAGTTGTTGTTGTTGTCATTGGCTCTGGCACCACCCACTGTTGGGCTCCCTGCCTTTTGCCCTACCAGTTCAGATGGGCAATAGCTGCCACTGTTCTCCTGCTCTTGCATGCATTTGCTTGGAATCAGATAACGGAACTGTAGTTGGAAAGGACCATGAGGATCATATTCTAGGACAACCCCGCATTGTCTAGTACAATGCTGCAATCTTTCGCCCAGCATGGGGCTCAAACCCTGAGATTAAGAGTCTCGTGGCTCTACCGACTGAGCTATCCCAGGGACTTGTAACGGAGCACAACGCCCCTCCTTTTCTGAGTGGGAGCCAACAATGCTTTTTCCATCTGCACAAGCACACGCAGACACAGAGAGAGGCCCGGAGTTGGTGGTAGTCCCAACCAAAGACTGGGAGGCCACCACTGGTTGGAGGGAAGGATTAATGGGTGCGCTTCTGGGATTGATTAAAGAAGGTTTAGATGGGATTACGGGATCATGGCAGATCAGGGACAGATTGGCAATCAGGGAAGGAAGGGCGGGGGGAGAGAGACTTTGTCTCCTGCTTCCCTGTGCAGAAAGATCAGAGGCAGCATCTCTTGAAAGAGGAGGAAATGATTGCCCATGAGGGGTAGGAAGAGGGTAGGTGTTTGTTTGTTTGTTTATGGGTTTATGTTTGCCAGGTTGGCCTCGAAGAGGATTTCAGTATGACTTTATCCTAACAGACCGTTTTGCATAATACAAAGCACATTTTCCTCCAACATTTATATTTTTTTCTTAACAGGAGTGCAAAAGGCAGAGTGCAAAATTCAGAGGGGTGCAAATTTGAGCACAAAACTCTGAGCGCAAAGTTCAGACGGGTGCAAATTTCGAAAGATGGCTGCTGTTTGTTCCGGTTTGTGTATTGTTTCAGAGAGTGCGCGTTTAGTAGATTTGCCTTCAAATGTGAACTGAATCGGGCTTCTCCCGCACCCCAGCACTTGCCTCTCCCCAGCTTCCATGCAGAGAAGCAAAAGGCACGATCCGAGTTCCCATTTCAGGCAGGCAAAAGCACTCAGGGTGTAGTGTAAGGCCAGTGAGAAGTGTGACCTGTGGACACTTACAAGGGCCAGGTAGAGAGGCTGGAGGGCCGCATGCCCTCTGCTACCCGAGCCTGAGGTTCTGCCACCACTAAGTGGCTTAAACACTAAGACACCTGCAGTGCTTGCAGCCAAGAATTTCTTAGAGGTGCCTCATCCGCCGAGGTCTCTACATCTTAGGAACAGTCGACAACAGACTGAAGGACAATAGTGTTTCCCCAAATATATCTTTAACTGAAGATGAAGCACCCACTTGGCTTTTAGAGGAGGAGAGGGTTGGTGCACAGTCAGCCGAAACAGCAGGCAGAGAACAGACACCACTCATATATAGGAAAGCAAGAGGCAGCTTGTATGACCTGCAAGTAACCCTTGCCAGAAGCACAGGGACTTTATAAGCTTGTCCCCATTTTTCAGCTGTGAAATGGCATAGGGCATGGGCATCTCTCTTGAAGGGGATTTGTGGGGGGGTGCCTTTCGCTGTGCTTACGGAACCTGCTGCACCCTCATGATGTTGGTATAACCTGCTCCAGGCCGCCAGCCTGTAACCACGATGACCAAGTCCTCGGACCGCAGGAAACCTCGCACCCGGCCTGGGAAGGGAGAGTGGAAGACAGGATCAGGAAAAGGATGAAGGGTAAGGGTAAGGAGAGCCAGAGGTTCCGTTGCAAAACTGTGGGGAGGGCAGTCATCCCCTTCCAGATCATGTGAGCTCTGGATGTTCCTGTGAGACACAGCTGGGGTGTGTGTGTTGTTTTTTGACCCAAGGGTTCCACACTCTAGGGGAGAGGGTGATCTAACAGAGTTGCTGTCTTGGGCTGGCTTGGATGCAGAGGAGCTGGGGACCCCCCGCCCCAGGGAACCAGGGGAAGAAGGCTCAGAGCCAGGGGAGTGTTGCTGGGATGGCGATGACTGGCCAGAGGGAGCAGGCTGGGAGGAGGAAGTGTCCGAAGATGAAGAGGGAACGGGGTTTAGTGAGCAGGAAGATGAGGTGGCAGAGAGCGGTTCAGACTCAGAGGTAGAAGCGGAGGCTGGAGAGGAGGGGGTGGCCAGGCTGCTGAAGAAGCCAGGGGGTCTCACCCTCCTGCTGTGTGACCAGCTCCCTTTCTGCCTGCTCCCCCAGAACCCACAGAGAAATAAAGAGGGGGGAGGAAAGAGAGACAAGACAGTGCAGTCTTAGGCTGCTAGGGAAGGAACTCGGAGAGAGGAAGTTTTAGGGAGCAGTGGGCAGGTGGGGACCTTCAGTCCTCTCAACTGCCTCATTGGGGCAAGATCTACCAGGGTGGGTTGCTGTGACCACTAGGCCTGCACTTTTTCTTTGACTAAAGAGTTAACTTCACTGACACCAGGTATTTCGTTACTGAGCTAATCCTGACTCCGGCTCCTGACGGTCTCATTGCATACTGGAGAAGAATGGAATGGAAAGTGAGTGGGTAGGTTTGCCCATTGCAGGATTCCACAGCACTGTTTGTTTGTTTGTTTGTTTGTTTGTGTGTATGCCACCCTCTTTCTCTGCCACTGTCCAAAGGCCCCCTGACATTCGGCTGAGGGCTGTATTGAGGCCACAGATTTCCCACCGCTTCCTGAAGGAGCTGTCCTCTCAAACACACCCTTCTTGCATAAGCAAGGAGTGAGTTAGGGCCGCTGCCTTTCGCTGAGGCCCTCGAGGGGGAATGCATGAGAAGCTACCATTAAACAGGCACCACATTTCCCGATGAGAATTTGCAGCGTCAAGAGGGGCTTGCACCATTTGGATATCTGCCTGCAACAGAGCAGGTAAAAGACTCCCAGGAGCCCCATCAGGGAGAAGAAAAGATGGCAGATCCTTGGGCAGGATGGAGTGCTACAGACTCACCGATCTCAATGCCAAACTGCACTCGGCGATCAACATCATCCGCCCACACCTCCTGGGTGGCCCCACGCCACAGGACTGGGAAGATACCGCGGCTGAGGTGGGCCTGGCGGGCGACCTGCTCATCGCGGGTCACGGCGATGATGAGGGCCCGGGGCCGGTAGCGGGACAGCAGCTGAGCAGACCTGAGTTGAGGAAGGGAGCAGGCGGAAGGGTGAGGCAGCAAATCTGGGAGTATTCAGACTCCTTATATCTGTCATTGCCAACATTCAGGGTTCCTGAGTGGTCTTCACAGTTATGCTTCTACGACCAGCTACTTTTTTCAGCCTGAGGGCCACATTGCCTTCTGGATGACTTTTCAAGGGCCTTCTGGTCCAGCTCTGAGGGCCTTCTGAAGGTCCAGCTCCGAGGGCCTTCTGGCGGTTCCCTCACTGCGAGAAGTGAGGTTACAGGGAACCAGGCAGAGGGCCTTCTCAGTAGTGGAACTTCCTCCCGTCAGATGTCAAAGAGATAAACAACTAAACGACTTCGAGAAGACATCTGACGGCAGCCCTTCTTCAGGAAGCTTTTAATGTCTGATGTTTTATTACGTTTGTATATTTTTCCGGAAGCTACCCATAGCGGCTGGAGCAACCAGGCCCAGACAGAGAGGGGGCCATATGGGCCACTTGGCCCGGGCCTCCGATTCCAAAGGGGGCCTTGGTCAGCATATTCACAATTGCAGGGGATGCACTGGGGCGAACAAGGAGGCGCAAAGGCAGCGGCGGCAGTGGGCGGATTCCCTGGGGCCATGGCTGGCAGCACGAGAGAAAAGCTTCCCCAGCGTCTGGGGTGGGGCCTGCAGTTGGCTCCGCAGAGGAGCGCGGAATGGGGGGGCACATTATCTACCTGGCCCGGGCCTCTGCCTGGCTCTGCAAGACCCTGGGGGCAACCCAGTCAAGGTGAGCGGCATATAAATAATAAAATTATTATTATTGGACTTCCGGGGTGGCGCCTCCGGAAAATGGCGGAATTCCCTTCGGACTGAAGGGAACCCGCTGCACGGAGGCTTGGGTCCTGCCGCTACGGCGCAGCGGGGACCCGCAAAAACCACAGGCGGAAGCAGCCTGTGGACGTGGGACTCGGCGGGCACCGAGAGCGCGCTCGCCCCCTGCACAGGAGCCCGGTAACGGGCGCCGGAGTGGGAGGTGCGTGGTGCTGTGAGTCGTCTGCTTCCTCCGTGCAGCAAAGCCGCACTGCCGTTATCGGAGAGCGCTGCCTTTTTCCTGGACAATTTGGCATCTAAAACATCTATCCGTGAGTACCTGATCTTAGAAGAGCTGAACCACTTTTAAGACTGGTGAATAAACAAACAATATTGGACTTGAAATTGAACTTAATTGGGACTCGGAATGGGAAAGTCTAAACAGGAAGTCGCCTTCCGTTCTTTTGTTATGTGAAGAAAGCAAAGACAAAATATACTAAAGCCTGAAAATTAAATTTTAAGAGAACTAGAATTCAACATCTAAGATTTCTGAACCCCCCCTTTGACAGCAGGAGAAAAGGGGGTTGTATTTGGACCTTTCAATCCTGCGGAAGTGAGTTTAAAATAAAGCAATTTTCCACCGCCCTGAACCAGGAGCGGGCTGTCAGAATTGACGTTCTGAAGTTTATCCAGCTCGACAGTTAGTTAAAAGAAGGGTAACATTTTGATTCTACTGTTGCCTCTTGAATTTGGAAGGGGGAATTTTGGATAAAGTGTTTCTGGAAAAAGAAAGATTGTTGCTGTTGCTTTTATTCCTTAAAAAAAAAAAAAAAAAATTTCCATCTAGTGGAATTTAGTGAAATTGCAACGCAGAGAGATTAAAAGAGAAAGACTATTGGACTACTCTCGTGGGAAAGAATTTTCTTTGACCTTGAAGGACAATGCTAGTACAAAGGCTTGAACAATTGTTCCTGGAAGGTTTTTCAAAACTAAGTGCCCAGCTGGACCAGATGCGTCAGGAGACGACCTTGAGGATGGAAGTTACCAGAGCACAGCAGCAAACAAATGAAATTCAGTTAAAGGCTATACAAGCATATGAACCTGCTGTAGTGACGGAGGCTTCAGAGATGGAGGGACCTTTGGACGGGCAAGATCAGCCTTTGAACTTGATAAATAAACTTGGGACAAACCAGATTCGGAAAGATGAAATGTGGTCAGATTTGGAAATGGGGGGATGGATCGACCCCCCCTCCATATGGTTATTTGGACCTTCCGAGTCTGGTGATGGGCTATCAGAGGATTGGAGTAGTCCAAGTCTCCAAGCTTTGTGGAAATTTGAAGTGGTATTATTTGCTGTCTGGCTTGGGCAATGGGTTTGGGATGGACTTGCTGCAAAGGGTCAAAAGCATTTTCTTGCTGGAGCATCCACGACTGGAAAGGAATCATCAACAAGAGTGGCGAAAGGGGCAAGAAAGAGACTTGAGGGCCTCGGATACGAGACAACCAGGTTAAGGGAGGTTAAAAGGACTGACAATCCCGGGTCCAGGGGAGGGGAGGTTGGAAGCTGACTGGACTGAATTTGACTTATTAATTTTTCTTTTCAATTGGGAATGCTTACAAATGTTTGAAGGATGTTGAATGAAATTACATGGCTTAAGTAAGGATTGGTAAATGATTCGTAAAAAGGTAATGATGCAAGAATTTGGTAAATATTGAATATAAGCTATGAGTTTTAAAGTTTTTATATGACAAGAGGGAAAATAGAATAAGGAAACGTAATGACAGATTGTTATGAAAAAACAGAAAGGATTTGCTGTAAAAATTAAAAATTAAGAAACAAAAGAGGGGAGGAGGAGGAAGTCTAGAAAGGAAGTCAATAGAGATTGTAAAGGACTTTATATTTTTGTTTTTCTGTTTCTCTTTTTTTCTTTCTTTGCGGCTGGGTTTTCTTTTCTTTTTTGTTTATGCACTATTTTTGTTTTTTGTATCCTAAATTTTTTTTTTTTTTTTTTTTGGAAATTTTTGTTGTTATTCTTTGAAAATTCAATAAATGTCAATTATAAAATTATTATTATTATTGGGCCAGGGCAGAGGCGAAAGTGGCTGAACAACAGGTGTAAGCTTTAATCAGAGTAGTTTAACTATCAGTCCCTCTTCACTGCAAACTCTGGAAATTGCAGCTCTGTGAAAGGACTAGGGGGTCTCCTAACAACTCTCAGCCCTCTTCAAGTACAGCTCCCAGAATCCTCTGGGGGAAGCAATGACTGTTTAAATTTATGGTGTGAATGTGCCATAAGCCCTAGACAAAGTAGACCCATTTAAATTAATGGATCTATGTTAGCCATGTCTATTAACTTCAATAGGTCTACTCAAAGAAGGAACACCAGGGCTGGATCTACACGGGCCTGTTTAACGTTATTAGAACGATATTAGATATATCGTTCTGAAACATTACTCGACAGACTTGTAAAATAAAGCATTTCTTACCTCCCTCAAAACACACTTTGCCTACTGCTAGTTGCTGGTTGCTCTGAAGCGGCCTTGGGTGTCACATTTTAATAACATAATTATGAATGTTAAAAGCATAACGTCATGTGGCCATGTGGTTATCAAAGCCATTTCTTAACCTTTCCTTAACGTTAAACACCATGAGTGTAGATCTGCCCCGGGTCTCCATCTCTGCATTAAGGCGATGGGATCTGGGTTGCACAAGGCTGCTTGACAGACAGGTTGGGGTCCCAGCCCCTTCGAGCATCCCACCCTTGACCTCACCTGCCGGATGTCGTGAGGACGATAATGGCAGCTGCGCAGCACTTGAAGGAAGCCTCCACAGCGCCGATGGCTGTCACCTCCGTGGGGTCCTGGCTCAGCGGGGTCAGGCGGCGCAGCTCTTGAAAGAGCTGGTGGTGATACATGGCGGCCTCAGCTTCTCGAGCAATCTGTGCAGGAGGGACATTGACATTCATGCTGGCCCAATACTGTCTGCTTTGGCAGGCAGCATCTCAAGAGGAAGATATTCCCCATCCCTTGCTGCTGGGGACGGAAGGATTTGTCCATTTCAACACTCTTCATTTCTATTCCCCCCCCCCCGTCATACATTTTGCAACAATTTGCAGTTCGTTTATTTTTCACGACCCACATGAAAATTCATCAGCAGACACATTTTGTTGTGCAGTTTTGACTAATGCACACCTTTTGGCAAGCCATTTCCCCAGACCTAATGCATTCTTGTATGTTATTTTCCTGAGACTCTCCCCTCTGGTGCACACCTCCCGCTAAAACATGCATTTTTGTAAACACGCCTGGGGGGGTAGAACCGCATCAAGAAATTCGGAGAAATGTGAATTTTCAAGGATGGCTGTGTATCTGGTTTGCATATTGTTTCAAAAAGTACAGGATTAAATGCACACTGTACCAAACTGCTCCCTCGTCCCTAATTACTACCTTTGAAAACTGGAGATGCCAGAAGTTGATCCTGGTAGCTTTGGCAGACCAAATACAGAGCAGGTGATCTACCCTTTGAACTATTGCCCCATAGTGAACGTCGGGTGTCACATAACTTCCTTGCAAGGTTTATGAAAACAAAGAAGGATGAACACTCAGTGGACAGGTTGCTTTGAACTGCCTTAGGCACATTATATTATTATTATTATTATTATTATTATTATTATTATTATTATTATTTTGCAGATATAACAAAGAAAAAATAAGCAACATCAGCTTATCTTAACATTCTGAATCATCCACCAATCCACACATGCACATAACTACATACAGGCAACGGCCGATCGATGTGCATCCGATTGATGTCCAAACATGCACACATACTTCGCGGAGATCCGGAAGTGGCCAGAAGAGGGTGGAACAGGATGGAATGGATTTATGCATGCTCCACCATCATGCGTGATGACCCAGAACACAACCCCCGTACATTTGCAGTCCATCAGTCAGCACAGATATCCAAACAAGATTGACGATTATAAGACGTAAGTTCAAATGTGGAAGGGGCAGCAGTTGATTCAGACCACAGAGTAATGGATGGGGGATGTTTATCCTTCCAAGTTCAAGTGTAAGGGTATCACAGAGCAGGGCCTGGCTGGCTGGCTGGAACCCTGAACTCCACACTCTAATAATAATAATAATATATTATTTATACCCCGTCCATCTGGCTGGGTCTCCCCAGCCACTCTGGGCGGCTTCCAACAAAACACTAAAATACAATAACCTATTAAACATTAAAAGCTTCCCTAAACAGGGCTGCCTTCAGATGGCTTCTAAAAGTTTGTCTTCTAAAAGATGTCTTCTAAAAGTTCTAAATATTTCGTTGCAGATCTCGCTTGCCACAACCACTAATTCTTAGCAGATTCTGGTATTGTTTATTGTTCTGTCATGTTCCCACCCAGCCAGCCTACCATATATATATGGGGAGAAGTAATTGAAAGGAAGAACTGGATACATACCGCATGCTGCATCCGCACAGCTTCCACAGGATACGCCCCCTTGGCGGTTTCTCCAGACAGCATGATGCAGTCAGCTCCATCCAAAACTGCATTGGCCACATCGCTGGTCTCTGCCCTCGTGGGGCGGGGCTTCTTGATCATGCTCTCCAACATCTGCCCGGGAGAGAGGAAGGAGACTGTAAGCATGTCCCTTTTCACAGGTCCCTTCATTATATGTGTTTGTTCTAACATGACCCATTTTATTTCTGTTTTGATTTTTGAAAAAGTTGTGCCAACTTTGCATTTATCAGTATTTTTTAAATGAATAAGAACATAAGAAGAGCCAGGCTGCTGGATTAGGCCAATATTTCGTTGTTCAGCATCCACTGTTTTTTACAGTGGTTGGATGAGGCCAGACCCATTGTGAGATAACCAAGCCTCATATAACCAGCATGCTTAAGTCTAATTGATGCATGTAGGGGTTAATACCATAGAGTAGGCTGTCCCGGCATGCTTAGCAAACTTTGGGAGGAACTAAATAACCAAGCTTTTGTTCCCCTCCAGTCTACCCGAGAAGCTCAGCACGTCAAGAGGTCTGAGCTGGTTGCTCCAAGCTCAGACCACATGGCTCTCACAAGCCATTCTCAATTTCCTATACCAATAATTTAGGAACTTTAACCACTTTGTAACAGCTAACTTTTAGTGCCTGTGCAACCTATTCTGAAGCACATGAATCTGACCTCTGGAAAGTTTGTAAGTAAACCATTTTTAAAACTTTCCAAGTGTGGGGAATTTAGAAATCACAAGCGCATATTTTAGAGATCCAACAGCCTATATTTCCACACTTTACTTTGCTGCGTATTTTGCAGTTTTAAATCTCTGCTCGGGTTCCCTCACTGAAGAGGACTTGCCCCAAACTTGGATCTTGGCACCCAGGAATTCTCATTTCTCCATATTTTTCCCTTGCAACCAATACTAGTCCAGCATCCTGTTCTCACAAAAGCCAACAAGATGTCTTTGGGAATCCTTCTTCTGCCACTTGTGATTCCCAGCATGCTGCCTCCAACATTGGAGGTGAGGTGTAAGGACCAAAGATGGTGCTGGATCAAGCCAATGGCCCATCTAGTCCTCATCCCTTTTTTAAAAGAATATTGAGAGCCAAAGTGAGAAGTGGTCCACTTTAAACCACTCTTTTCTAATGGATAGAAAAGATAGTATCTGACTGAACTCCCTGTGGGTACTGCCCGGTGAGGCAGCTGATTTAGACATGGAGACCCCACGTTCAGAGGCAGTCTACCCCCAGTTCCCCTGCTCTCAGCAGCTTACCTGAGTGGCGCATATCACAGGCTTCCCTGCACGGTTACATCGCCCAATCATCATCTTTTGAGCCAGGAAAACCTTCTCGCTGGGGATCTCAATGCCCAGGTCTCCACGCGCCACCATGATGCCATCGCTGGCTTCCAGGATCTCGTCAAACCTGCCAGGAAGCAAGAGAGGTTGCAATGAGGCCAAATACAAGCGATAGCAGGGGTTATACAAGGAGGACTCTCCTGCATGGAGAAATCTAGCTTCTCTCATAGTTGCACCATCAAGTGATATATGTAGCTCCTGAATATTCAGATTCAGACCACTGGGGGGTGTTTTATGCCACGGTGTTTTATTCCAGGCCCCCCAGATCACCCCCTCCCCATTTAAAAAATATGCTTGCAAGTGCTCAAGGTTTTCTATAAAGTCATGAGGACTAGGAATGTGCCCCCATTATGTAAAACGAAAGCTGCTAATTCACAGGATGGCAGATGCGATACCAGATAGCAACCTTTGTGTTGGTTTGATTGATTTATGGACCTGTAAAGGTAAAGGTAAAGGGACCCCTGACCATTAGGTCCAGTCGTGGCCGACTCTGGGGTTGCGGCACTCATCTCGCTTTATTGGCCGAGGAAGCCGGCATACAGCTTCCGGGTCATGTGGCCAGCAGGACTAAGCCGCTTCTGGCGAACCAGAGCAGCGCACAGAAACGCCGTTTAACTTCCGCCGGAGCGGTACCTATTTATCTACTTGCACTTTGACGGGCTTTCGAACTGCTAGGTTGGCAGGAGCTGGGACTGAGCAACGGGAATTCACCCCATTATGGGGATTCAAACCGCCAACCTTCTGATTGGCAAGCCCTAGGCTCTGTGGTTTAACCCACAGAGCCACCCACGTCCCATGGATCTGTAGAGAGGAATATAAATCTACATCGTTATGTTTAAACCCTGAGAATAAGGAATACTTCACCTCTTAACAAAAATGTCCCATGTGATATGTATTTTTAAAGTGAAGATTGATCCAAGAAAGCAGGTTAATCTCCTATTCCCCCGACACACCACAGACGGCTTTATTCTGCTAGCCTAAAATACGCTGGAAATTGGCTCAGGGGCAGAAATCTAACCCATGAGACTGTCTATGGCAGGGGTGTGGAGCCCCTTTTGGCCCAAGGGCCACATTCCCTTCCAGGTGTTCTTCTGGGGGCCACATTCCAGTGGTGGGCGGGGCCATAAGCAAAAGTGGGCGGAGCAACAAATGTTTATTCCCACATCCTTTTCTATTTTCTATCCAGGCAAGCAAGAAAGAGTATCAGAGTTCAAGGGCAATTTTCAGCCAGGCAAAATCACCCAAGGAGGGAACACAGCAGGGCAAGTGGGAGGTTGTGGCCTGAGGAGAGTCTTAAGGCCCAGATACAGAGGCCTGGAGGGCTGCCCCTCCAGTCTACGGGGCCAGGAAAGCATAGAAGCTGGAAATTACTTTTTGACTCCCTCGTGGTTTTCGATCTTGCTGATGATCTTGATGTTGCGGCCTTGCTCTCCCAGAACCTTCCGGATGGCAGCCACATCGCTGGCCTTGCGGATGAAGGAGGCGAAAACGATGTCGACGCCCTGCTGCAAGCCGAACTGCAGGTCCTGGATGTCCCGCTGGGAGACCGCCGGCAGGTCCACCGCGGCCCCCGGCAGATTGACCCCCTTGTGGCTGCACAGCATCCCACCATTCTCCACCTCGGTGATGCAGCCGTTGGGGCCTGTGAGACGGGGTCAGACAAAGAAGGCTCATACCAGGACTGAATAAATCACTCAATCTCTGTATCATGATCAATAACCAGTAGTCCAAAAGAAACTCTGTACGAAGACCTACACTGGCTCCCAGTACGTTTCCGAGCACAATAAGTGTTGGTGCTGACCTTTAAAGCCCTAAACAGCCTCGGCCCAGTATACCTGAAGGAGCGTCTCCACCCCCATCATTCTGCCCGGACACTGAGGCCCAGTGCCGAGGGCCTTCTGGAGGTTCCCTCGCTGCGAGAAGCCAAGTTACAGGGAACCAGGCAGAGGGCCTTCTCGGTAGTGGCGCCCTCCCTGTGGAATGCCCTCCCATCAGATGTCAAGGAAATAAACAACTATCTAACTTTTAGAAGACATCTGAAGGCAGCCCTGTTTAGGGAAGTTTTTAATATTTGATGTTTTAGTGTGTTTTTAATATTTTAATAATAATAATAATAATAATAATAATAATAATAATAATTTTTATTATTATACAAAACAATGCTGAACAGAGAACCAAAACACACTCCCTGGTTCTGTTGGCCCCCAAAAATGGAGGTTTTGCCGAAATTCCCCCTGGATGCTGTTTGAATTCCGGACGTTACAAGGAAACTCCAGAAGTATGGCAACCCTAACTTTATGCAACTACCTCAATTGCTGTTTCTGGGAACAAGGATCTGTTGCCCAGTAGCCACTATATCGGAGGTGTCCAATTTTTTCCCCAAGAGGGCCAGATTTGATGAAGTGAAGAGCCTTGAGGGCCAGCCAAAGGACCAACCAAAGTTGCTGAACTTTTTTCAGGTTTGAGGTTATTGAGCTTTTTTATGATTTTTACCCCAGAATTGTTGAGCCTTTTTTTTAGGGCTGAAGTTGTTGAGGGTTTTTTTACCCCAGCAAACAAACTGCCACAGGGGCCAGATTAAACCGACCAGCAGGTCGGATTAATAATAAAAATTTATTTATACCCCGCCCTCCCTGGCCAGACCCGGGCTCAGGGTGGCTAACACCAGTAAAATTACAATTAAAAAACCCCCAATTTAAAATACAGGTTAAAATAGAATTTAAAATGCAACCTCATTTTAATAATAGCCCATAGATCAAAACCATAAGGGGAGGGAAACATAAGGGTCAGACTGAGTCCAAACCAAAGGCCAGGCAGAACAGCTCTGTCTTGCAGGCCCTGCGGAAAGATGTCAAGTCCCATGGGGCCCTAGTCTCTTGTGACAGAGTTCCACCAAGTCGGGGCCAGTACTGAAAAGGCCCTGGCCCTAGTTGAGAGCAATCTAACCACCTTGCGACTTGGGACCTCCAAGGTGTTGTCATTTGTGGACCTTAAGGTCCTTCACGGGGCAGACCAAGAGAAGCGGTCCCTGAAACAGACTTTGGACATGCCCACAGGCCTTATCAGGGAGGGTGCTATCCAGGGTGCTGAATTAACAGGAGCGGCCAGCAGAGACAGGTGTCACTGCACACCTGGCCTCCTGGGAAGAAGAGAGGCAAGAAGGGAAGCACGGCGCAGGTGCAACTGCAGAGCAAACCCAATGCTCCCTACAGTGCAACCACACAGAGACAGCCTCTCTGCCGCCTCGCCTTCCCCCTGCTGGCAAGCAGCCGTGATGCTGCTGCTGGGATGCCAGGTACCTATCCCCACCTAACCCACTTGTCAGGGAGTGGCTGGATAATGATATAATAATAATAATTTATTATTTATACTCCGCCCATCTGGCTGAGTTTCCCCAGCCACTCTGGGCGGCTCCCAATCGAGTGTTAAAAACAATACAGCATTAAATATTAAAAACTTCCCTAAACAGGGCTGCCTTCAGATGTCTTTTAAAGATAAGATGGCTGCTTATTTCCCTCACATGTGAAGGGAGGGTGTTCCACAGAGAGGGTGCCACTACCGAGAAGGCCCTCTGTCTGGTTCCCAGTAACCTCACTTCTCGCAATGAGGGAACAGCCAGAAGGCCCTCGGCGCTGGACCTCAGTGTCCGGGCTGAACGATGGGGGTGGAGACGCTCTTTCAGGTATACAGGATGAGGAGGAGTGGTGGAAACTGCCTGACCAAGAGGGAAAGCACAGAGAGAAATGATTTAGATTCTGGTGATGGGAAACGTGCCACACCCCAGACCAGCGGAAGAGCTGGGAAGTACTGGAGGTTGGGAACTTGGAGGAGGATGAAGAGAAGGAAACAGGGAGGTTCCCCAGCAGGGCAGAGATGGGACTCAGACTCGGCCGCTCCACCACAGAGCCACCCTGACAGCTTTTTCTGCTGACAGCCTGCAGGCCCCCACTCCCAGAACAAGGCGTCTGTTGCACTTTACAGAGCAGAGAGCCAGGCAGAAACAGAGATGGTCCCACAAAGAGGTTAGGCTGGCCTCGACCAGAGCCAGGGCTTTTTCGGCTGTGGCCCCGATCTGGTGGAACGCTCTGTCACAAGAGACTAGGGCCCTTCGGGACTTGACATCTTTCCGCAGGGCCTGCAAGACAGAGCTGTTCCACCAGGACTTTGGCCAAGGCACAGTCTGACCCCCTCCTTCGGTAATCCCCACAGAAGTGTAGCCCAATGGTTGTCATTAATTTGATTTTGAATTGATTTTAGAATGGATTGATTTTAGAATCCTGTGTTACTTTTATTGTTGTTAGCAGCTCTGAGCTTCAGCTGGGGAGGGTGGGATATAAATAAACAATTATTATTATTATTATTATTATTATTATTACTCGGGCTTGCTGTAAACAGAGGGAGGGGCCTGACACAGAGGGATAAGGAGTGGAGGGGGGAGTTACAAGCCAGTCCGCTCAACTGCTTCATCTACACAGGAGCAACCCTTAGGAGTCTCTGCGTGTTCTCTGTTCTGCTTGTCTCATAAAGAAACTAACTGTAAGTCATCTGGTGTTTACTATCTTTCTCTGATCTGCAAATGCCCTGTTCTCCTTGGCGGTTCCTGACACCACTGGCCGCTCCTGGACAGGAGGTGCTAGTCTGAGGCATAAGAAAGATGGAGACCAAAGATATGTAACTACTTGAAAGAAACAATTAGGCCTAGGATTAAAATGGAATTAAATTTATAAAGAAGAAAATGTACGATAAGGAAAGCTATGTAATATGTAATATGATTAGGACTATGATATGGTCTTTTGAAACACTGATAAGCTACATATAATTACTAAGAAATTCGGATGGAAGAGATTCGAGGAAGTCAAATACTATGTCTATGAAGATGGATGGCACTTAATTTTAATTAATTAAGTGGTAATACGTTGTATGTCTCTTTTTTCTTGTTTCTCTTTTTCTCCTATTTTTTGTTTGTCTTTATTATTGTTAATCTTCTCTTTTTTATAATGTTTATTTACTGAAAATAATAAATATCATTGGGGGGAAAAGAAAGATGGAGACCACCCACCTCAGCAGCGAGAGGCGAAAGGGTGGGCTTCCAAACCGCAGAAAGGGGAGAAGCATACGTACGGATTTCCTTGACCAGCAAGGAGATGAGGCCGTCGTCAATGAAGATCCGTCCTCCGACTTTGATGACTTTGGGCAAGTTGACGTAATCCAGCCAGACGGTGTTCTGGTCACAGCACTCCCGGAAGGCTGGGTCTGTCGTAACCAGCACCCGCGATCCTTTCACCAGTTCCACTTCTTGGTCCACGCCCTGCAGAAGGAGGCCACACCCACGTGAGCAGTTATTTCTTAAGAGCAAAGGGAACACCTTTGACTTTTAAAGCCCTATGCGGCCTAGGACCCACGTACCTACGGGACCGCCTCTACTGGTATGCCCCACGGACGACCTTAAGGTCCACAAATGACAACACCTTGGAGGTCCCAAGTCGCAAGGTGGTTAGATTAGTCTCAACTAGGGCCAGGGCCTTTTCAGTACTGGCCCCAATTGGTGGAACGCTCTGTCACAAGAGACGAGGGCCCTGCGGGACTTGACATCTTTCCACAGGGCCTGCAAGACAGAGGTGTTCTGCCTGGCCTTTGGTTTGGACTCAGTCTGACCCTTATGTTTCCCTCCCCTTATGGTTTTGATCTTTGGGCTACTATTAAAATGAGGCTGCATTTTAAATTATATTTTAACCTGTATTTTAAAGTGGTTTTTTAATTATTTTATTGTAATTTTACTGGTGTTAGCTGCCCTGAGCCCAGCTCCAGCCAGGGAGGGCAGGGTATAAATAAAAATTTACTACTACTACTACTATTAAACTATTGATTAGGGCTGCAATTTTTTATTTCGGAACCAGCTCTGCCGTTAGGGTGCTCCAGGGATTCAGACAGGGAATACTTCCAGCCCTGTCAGGAGTCATTGGGGATTGAACTTGGGGATTTCTGCATGCAGAGCAGATTGGCAGGGACTGGCTGAATGAGTAATAATAATAATAATAATAATAATAATAATAATTTTTATTTATACTCCGCCCTCCCCAGCCAAAGCCGGGCTCAGGGTGGCTAACAAGCAATAATAAAAACAAGTTGAATGAATACAGCTTAAAAACAAAATTAAAATACAACATTAAAATATTGAAACATTAAAATATTAAAATGTAGCCTCATCGCAGGAGGAGAAGGAAAAGAAAAAAGAAAGAGAGGGAGGGAATCAAATTGGCTCCAAGCCAAAGGCCAGGCGGAACAACTCTGTCTTACAGGCCCTGCAGAAAGAAATCAGATCCAGCAGGGCCCTGGTCTCATGAGACAGAGCGTTCCACCAGGCCGGAGCCAGTGTTGAAAAGGCCCTGGCTCTGGTTGAGGCTAATCTAACTTCCTTAGGGCCCGGGACCACTAGGGTGTTGCTATTTATGGACCTTGAGGCTCTCCGTGGGGCATACCAGGAGAGGCGGTCCCATAGGTACGAGACCTAGGTACGAGTAGTGGTGCTGCCTGCCCAAGTGCCCCCCAGGGAGGACACAGAAGAAGAAGATTTAGACCCCGGCTGTCATGAATGAGCCAGCTCCCAGGGAAAGTTTGCAACCAGCTCCTGGTGAAGGGAATAGCCAGGAAGAGAGAGGGTTAACTGCAAAACAGGAATGTCAACTGATAGCAGAGTGGTGGAGAGTCAGCCAGCAGCTTGCCAGCACACCAGCGAAGGACAAAATGCAGGGGCTAGATACGAAAGTAGCTCAGAGAGCAGGAAGGACCACGGAAGTACTGTTTCAGAGAATGAGGAAGGGGTGGGAGCTGACCCCCTTAGTCCAAAGTCTAGGCGTATGGGGGGGTCTTCAAGACAGAATATGTCACAAGAGGAAGTTCGGCTGTTTCTGGTCTCTCTGGAAACATCCTCCTTAGAAGGGACATCTTTGATTTATAGGCGGACGGCTGTGATGGCTGCTCCAGTGAACTCTGTTTTGCAATAAATCTTATTCTTAATTAACTACGCCCGTTTGTTATCATGACTCCCTGACACCGGGTCATGGTGGTGGGACACTGGGGAACAGTCAGGGAAAGGGACAAGCTGGGAGGTGCTAGAAGGAGCAGGTTTTGAGAGATTAATGGGGGTCAGGAGAAGGAGGCCCCAGGACAGCGCTGGAGGCTGAGAGTCTCAGTGTGAGCACAGACTCAGAGAGAGATGAGTCAGAAGTTGCTCTTCTACCCAGCAGCAGGGCAGTCCCAGTCCTGCAGGCTCACCTCCCTCTCTGACACCCCACCTGAGTAGAGTCCTGCATGTTGCTGAGCAACAGGCCAGACAGGAATAATAATAATAATAATAATAATAATAATAATAATAATAATAATAATTTATTTATACTCCGCCCATCTGGCTGGGTTTCCCCAGCCACTCTGGGTGGCTTCCAACAAAATATTAAAATACAGTAATGCATCAAACATTAAAAGCTTCCCTAAACAGGGCTGCCTTCAGATGTCTTCTAAAAGTCTGGTCGTTGTTGTTCTCTTTGACATCTGGTGGGAGGGCGTTCCACAGGGCGGGTGCCACCACCAAGAAGGCCCTCCACCTGGTTCCCTGTAACAGCCTAGTCTGTTATAACCAAGACAACCAATGGCAAACATTTATTTCATGGGGCAACTGCCCAAATATGGAACCACTCATTCCCAATCTTACCCCTTTGACCACACCGGTGCGGATCTCTGGGCCTTTGGTATCCAGGGCAATGGCCACCGGTCGGTAGAAGAGCGGGTTGGAGGCAAAACTCTCCGTTGCTTTCCGGATATTCACAATGGATCCTGCATGGTACTGAAAGAGAAAACAGTGGTGGTGGTGGTGGGGAGTCAGTGGATCCTTTCCTCATTCACTGAAGAAGGGGGAATCTGACTTCAGAGTCGCGGCACCCAACCCCTGAGCACAGAGCCCAAGGTGTAGAGACGGATGCAGAGCTGGAGCTGAGTCAGGGCTCAGACCTGGAGAGGAGGGGGGCCAAGAGGCAGAGATGGGTCAGGCTGGTGAAGAATCACAGGGGTCTCCCCCTCCTTCTGCCACAAACTTCCCTCTCCCCCAGTTCCCCAGAACCAGAAGAGGCATGAAAAGGGTGGAGGACAGTTTGGCTTTGCACAGGCACAGTCTCCAATTGTTTGGGGAAAACTCTGGAGAGGAAGGGGCTTAGGCAGCTGTGGGGAGGTGGGGACTCTCAGTCTCAGCAACTGCTGTGGGAATGTTCAGGGATGCAGGAGAGGATATATTGTCTGATTATATCCTTATCCAACTTGTGTTAACAAGTTCCACAATTTCAGCAGAGTAACATTCCCTTCTTTTAAATTTGCAACGGATGTGTTTTGCTCAGGCTCGCTAAAGCCTCTCTAATAACTGTTCTGGTAGTTTTCCCTTATTCCCTCATGAAAGATAAGACACAACACAGTCTTCTATAAAAGTATAAAAAGAGTTTACTCACATTCAGTTCACAATCAGATCTCAGAAGGCAGACTTAGCTTAATGTAGTAACATAAACTTGGAATCTATCTCATAAGAAGACAGTCCCTTTGTCCTCTCTTGGCTGGAAGCCAAGAGGGCATCTTTGGCTTAGTAGATGTTGTTTCTTTGATGCATGTGGTGAAAGAGAGAGAGAGATGGCTGCCCTGCCCTGTGCTTTTGTCATTACCTGCACAGGTGAGGCCACACCCACTCTCTAGTCACATGCAGAGGAAGTATGTCCCAGCCCAGAAGGAAACAGGAAGCTTTCCTGTTGGCTGGACAAAGATTCCTCCCCATGTGCAAACATGTTCACTCTAGGAATGTTGTACTTGACTGCTCTGGTGTTTCACATCCTACAACTGCTTCATGGGGGCAAGACCTGCCAGGGATAAGTTGCTGCACTCATTAGGCCTGACACTCCTGTGCAGATCCCGTTTTTGCTAATAAAGAGTTAACTCCAACTAGCTCAGTGTGATTTACTGCTGGCTCGCTCCTGTCAAGGAAGGAATCTGGAGGCCGAGGCCTAAAACGCCTCTGTCCATGTCCTAGATTTGTTGGCACAAGTGGCTCAACTTGGAGCTATCCATTGGTCCAGAAACCTTCAGCTTTCCCCATGGGATCCAGCATCAGACCAGGACATGACACCCCACCCTCTTGGGGAAGGAAATGGCTTACTCTCATCCCCACCCACTCGATACCTCATGTGAGCCGTGCGAAAAGTTCAGCCGTGCAATGTTCATTCCAGCCTTGATCATCTCACGGAGCATTTCCACCGAGCGGGAAGCAGGGCCTGAAAGAGGAGACGGGGAGCATTGGGTCACTGGGACAAAGAACCATATTGACACATCCTCCCTCAGGTCTTGCACCCAGTGTCACCAAGCCAGTGGCTAAAGTAAAGGTAAAGGGACCCCTAACCATTAGGTCCAGTCGTGACCGACTCTGGGGTTGCGGCACTCATCTCGCTTTATTGGCTGAGGGAGCCGGCGTACAGCTTCCGGGTCATGTGGCCAGCATGACTAAGCCGCTGCTGGCGAACCAGAGCAGCGCACGGAAACACCGTTTACCTTCCCGCCGGAGCGGTACCTATTTATCTACTTGCACTTTGACGTGCTTTCGAACTGCTAGGTTGGCAGGAGCTGGGACCGAACAACTGGAGCTCACCCCATCGTGGGGATTCGAACCGCCAAACCTCTGATCAGCAAGCCCTAGGCTCTGTGGTTTAACCCACAGCACCACCCATGTCCCTAGCCAGGCTACGTCCTGTCAAATGACCCAACTCAGTCTTTAACAGGAATCATTCATTTTCCCCAAACGCCCCAGGGGAAGTGAGGGTGCTAAGTGTGCACATAAGTACATAGGGACCACCTTTCTGGCTGAATATCCTGTTTCCAACAGAGGGCAGCCAGATGCTGCCAGGAAGCTCCCAGGCAATGTTTCCCTTTTTCCAATAATTCTCATTCTCTGATTCGCTGCCTCTAGCTATGGACTTTCCATTTTGCTGTGCTGGTTAGCATTCCTCTTCTGCCTCCTCTTCTATCATCAATTGGTCCGATTTTTCGCTTAAAGCACCACCACAGTTTGTGGCAGTAAATTCCAGGAGTTAGGGGTGTGTTGAGTGCGGAGGTATTTATTTTTGATCGCAAGGAATCTTGCCCCCCTCCCCTTAAATGAAAAACAGAAGAGCATAACATAAGAGAATAAGAGCCTGTTGGAAGAGGCCAGAGAGACATCTTGCCCAGCATCCTGTTCTCACAGTGGCCAACCAGATGCTTGTGGGAAACCTGGAAGCAGGATCCGAACACAAGACCACTCTCCCCTCCTGCAGTGTCCAGCAAGTAGTATTTAGAAGCATTAGAAGGCAGAGCATAGACATCATGGCTAGCAGCCATTGCTATCTATATATCTGTTTACCTACCTATCTATCTACAGTATCTATCTATCATCTATCATCTCTATCATCTATCATCTATCATCTATCATCTATCATCTATCATCTATCTACCTACCTATCTACAGTATCTACCGGTATCTATCTATCTATCTATCTATCTATCTATCTATCATCTATCTATCTAACTATCTATATCTATCTATATCTATCTATCTATCATCTATCTATCTATCTATCTATCTATCATCTATCTATCTGTCTATCTGTCTATCTATCTATCCATCTATCATCTATCTATCTATTATCTATCTATCTATCTATCATCTATCATCTATCATCTATCATCATCTATCTATATCTATCTATCATCTACCTATCTACAGTATCTATCTATCATCTATCTATCTATCTATCTATCTATCATCTATCTATCTATCTATCATCTATCATCTATCTATCATCTATCTATCATCTATCTATCATCTATCTATCTACCTATCATCTATTTTTCTATACCTATACCTATACCTATACCTATACCTATACCTATACCTATACCTATACAGTGGTGCCTCGCAAGACGAAATTAATCCGTTCCGCAAGAGTCTTCGTCTAGCGGTTTTTTCGTCTTGCGAAGCAAGCCCATTGACGGATTAGCGCTATTAGCGCTATCAGCTGTTTAGCGGCTATTAAAGGCTTAAAGGCTTAGGGGATTAGCTGCTAAAAGGCTATTAAAGGCTATTAAAGGCTTAGCAGATTAGATAAAGGGGGGGAAAAGCGAAAAAAAAATCTCAAGACTCGCAAGACATTTTCGTCTTGCGAAGCAAGCCCATAGCGGAATTCGTCCTGCGAAGCAACTTCAAAACGGAAAACCCTTTCGTCTAGCGGTTTTTCCGTCTTGCGAGGCATTCGTCTTGCGGGGCACCACTGTACCTATCTGTCTATCTATCTATCTATCTATCTATCCATCCATCATCTATTCTGCATCAAAATAACACACATTTCGCAACAGTAAACAATCAGCTTTAAACTCTGATAAATTCAACACACACACCTATTTCTCATCCCTCTAGCATAATTTATTCTACCATTTCCTATTTCACAAAAGTGTTTCTAAATTTGTTAATCCCCAGGGAGGGATGATTCCTTATACAGCAGACCAAACCTGATGCTAAATACAGTGGAACTTCGGTTTTTGATCGTCTCAGAAGTTGAACATTTCGGCTTTTGAACGCCGAAAACCCAGAAGTAACTGCTTCAGTTTTCAAACGATTTTTTGAAGCTGAACATGCCACGTGGCTTCTGTTTGGAGTTTCCCTGTTGTATTGAGGCTTCCGTACTGAGTTTTCGGTTTTCAAACGTTTCGGAAGTCGAACGGTCTTCCAGAACAGATTACGTTCGAAAACCGAGGTTCCACTGTACTATAGAAATTTTATTGAGCTTGTGAGATTTCAACAGGCCGGGTGCGTGTACACCCAATCCTATATTCACAATTCGCTAGAGTTCACTAGATTCCCTGCAGCGCTTCTGCAGGGCGGGCGAGAGAAGCTCGTCAGCAGCTAAGGAGCGGTGCCATACCAATGGTGCAGACGATTCCTGTGCTGCGGGCGGCGATGGGCTCCGAGTCGATGTCCAGCAGGCAGAGGTGTTCCAGGAAGGTGTCCGCCATGGATGCTGGCAGCTGGTGCTTCTGGAAGAAAGCAGTGCCCAACTCCTGGGTGAGGCTGGCCATGTCGTCTGGGAGAATCGAGATGCTACCTGCGTGCAGGGGGTGGGGGAAGGAAGAATCACTCCTGAATGCAAGCTCTGGGCAGGAAGGCAGACGGACGCGTCACGGTAGCGCTTGCAGATCACGGCGCAGCCTCATGGTCAGAGCATGATGCACTCTCCACACCCACCTCCGTTCCATCTGCTGGAGAGGCCCGGCCAGCAGCCCCCGTCTACCCATCCCTTCCTCCCCAGGCCTAGCCCAGACGCACCCTCCATCTTCACACGCCTCCCTCTCAAAGCTTCCCGGCTTCGCTCCAGGCCCAGGTAGACTCTGCCCCGACTGCCAGGCCTCCCCTCACCCAGCCACCCCACCCCTCTCCCTGGTTAAAGAGTTACCAGCTCAGTTCTAAGTCCACAATATCCGCGCGGTGGTTGGTGTACAAAGCCAGCAATTGCTCCCCATTATTATTGCTATTACAGCGGTACCTCGGGTTACATAGGCTTCAGGTTACACACACTTCAGGTTACAGACTCCACTAACCCAGAAATATTACCTCGGGTTAAGAACTTTGCTTCAGGATGAGAACAGAAATTGTGCAGCGGCGGCACAGCAGCAGCAAGAGGCCCCATTAGCTAAAGTGGTGCTTCAGGTTAAGAACAGTTTCAGGTTAAGAACAGACCTCCAGAACGAATTAAGTTCTTAACCCGAGGTACCACTGTATTATCAGGTGCTGGCAGATTGAGCTGAGGAGACTGACTGCGGGTCCAACAGTCAAGAAGGTGGTTTCTGTGCATGCTCTAGAGGGAACTGAGGGGCAGATGGGGCCTGACAGCCTGTGGCTCCTAGGCAGTGCTATTTTTCCAGAAAAAGAGGTGTTGGAACTCACCATAACACCTCCCTCTTTCTTTCAGCCCACCTGAGAGGTGCTGGAACTGAGTTCTGGTGAGTTCCAGCTGGGAGAAAAGCCCTGCTCCTAGAAGCTGTTGGCATGCGACAGGAACCACACCCCGGGAACGGCTTCGACTGGCCGGCTAAACCAAGTGAGGGCAGCCAATGGGTCTCAAACCCTTTGTGAGTTAGGGAAGGTGGGGATCATCAACCTGGGATGGGAGCCCACCTAGGAGAAGGAAAACTCTGATCCTAAACCTCTGCTGCCTTGTGGGATGTCTTCGGGTGAAGAAAGAGCTCAGGAATTAACCTTACACAAATCCAGAGTGGACTCCCTAAGACAGTTGGATGACGCCTTGCACATCTCTTTTTGGCAATTCCTGCAGCCAAGATGGCGCCAAATGTGTTGCTCTGCTTTCCTTTGGACCACATCAGCGATGCTAAGAAGGGGGTCTTGTCATCTGGGCAGCCCAGGACCTCCATGCACACTGCCTAGGCTTCCACCCCTGAGAGCTCTCTTCAGTGCTGCTATTGCAGAGGTTTGATTTCACCCCCAGAGGCACACTCCATTGTCTCTTGAGACAGACGGATGCCAACAATAGCCTATTTTATTATTATTATCCAGTGCTTCCAGACTGCAGCTTATTTTGGGGGGTGAGGTCAAACAAATACAATGGTACCTCGGGTTAAGTACTTAATTCATTCCGGAGGTCCATTCTTAACCTGAAACTGTTCTTAACCTGAAGCACCACTTTAGCTAATGGGGTCTCCTGCTGCTGCCGCACCACCGGAGCACAATTTCTGTTCTTATCCTGAAGCAAAGTTCTTAACCCAAGGTACTATTTCTGGGTTAGCGAAGCCTGTAACCTGAAGCGTCTGTAACCTGAAGCATATGTAACCCAAGGTACCACTGTATTGGCTTAATGAAAGGGAAGGCCCATAGCTTGGTGGTAGAGCATTTGCCTGGTGTGCAGAAGGTTCCAGGTTCAATCCCAGGTAGGGTTGGGGGAGATTCCCTGCCTGAAACCCTGAAGAACTGCTGCCAGTCAGTGCAGACAGCTCTGAGCTAGATGGACCTATCCTTTGACTCAGCTTCCTATGTTCCGTCATGCTTTCAACGCTGCTAAGTGCTCTTGTGCAGTAAACCCACCCTTCCCAGACTTTTTGCGAGCGGTGAAAAATAACAGCATAAAATACAGTCGTATCTCGGAAGTCGAACGGAATATGTTCCGGAAGTCCGTTTGACTTCCGAAACGTTCGGAAACCAAAGCGCGGCTTCTGTTTAGCTGCGGAAGTGTCGTTAGAAGTTCGGCTTCTGAAAGAACGTTCGGAAACTGGAATGCTCACGTCCAGTTTTGGATCGTTTGGGAGCAGAAATATTCAACTCCCAAGGCATTCGGGAGCCAACGTACAACTGTACTGACATTGCCCCACACGGTGCCAGGAAATAAATAAATATCGGATTCTTTCAGAAAGTGCAAATTATGCAGATTTGCCTTACGGTGCAAATCAAATTCCCCGCCCACAGCTAGTCATGAAGGGGTATGCTATTTCTCTTCACATTGCTGCATTTCTTTTCACCACCAGGGAGGGAGAGAAATATTTGTGGGATTTTCCAGCTCCCTTCGCCAGCCTTGGGTGCTAGGGCATTGCATTTTAGACCTGTGTGCATTGTGTAAAAAGGGAGCCGCTACAGTGGTACCTCAGGTTACAGACGCTTCAGGTTACAGACTCCGCTAACCCAGAAATAGTACCTTGGGTTAAGAACTTTGCTTCAGGATGAGAACAGAAATTGCGCAGCAGCAGCGGGAGGCCCCATTAGCTAAAGTGGTACCTCAGGTTAAGAACAGTTTCAGGTTAAGAACGGACCTCCAGAATGAATTAAGTTCTTAACCTGAGGTACCACTGTATTTGCTCCCTGATGACTCAGGCACGAAATATCCCGGGCCCAGCCCTGAGCTGCTGTTGCCTAAAGGCCTAAGCTGCCTTCTACGGATACAGATAGGACCCGGAATCTTCTGCATCTTCAAATATCTCCGGCTGTCGCAGGGAAGAGGGAGCAAGCTTGTTCTCTCCTGCTCCTCCGGAGGTCAGGACTCGAACCAACGGCTTTAAGGTACAAGAAAGGAGATTCTGACTACGCATAAGGGGAAAAACTTTCTGACAGTCAGAGCTGTTTGATCATGGAAAAGGTCTCCCTCGGGAGGTTGTGGACTCTCCTTCCTCAGAGGTTTCTAAAGCAGCGGCTAGATGGCCATCTGTCCTGGATGCTTTAGCTGAGATTCCTGCTTTGCAAGTGGTTGGACTCCATGATCCCCGGGGTCCCTTCTAAATTTTACGATTCTATACATGCTAAGCATGCACTCTCCCCCACTGAGTTATGCTCCTTCCTGCCCTTGTGATTCTGAATTAAACAGGAACCCGGGAAGCCACGTTCGACATAGTCGGTTGGTCTATCTAGCTCAGAACGAGCTACACTGATGGGCAGCGGCTGTTCAGAGTTTCAGGCAGGGGACAAATTCCAAGCCCTACCTGGCGACGATGGAGATCTTTATACAAAGCCGATGCTCTACCCCAAAACTTTTTCAGCAGGGGGCCGGTCCACTGTCCCTCAGACCTTGTGGGGGGCCGGACTATATTTTGGAAAAAAATAATGAACGAATTCCTATGCCCCACAAATAACCCAGAGATGCATTTGAAATAAAAGCACACGTTCTACTCATGTAAGAACATGCTGATTCCCAGACGGTCCGTGGGCCAGATTTAGAAGGCGATTGGACTGGATCCGGCCCCTGGGCCTCAGGTTGCCTACCCATGCTCTTCCCCCACTGAGCTCCCCAAAAGTAGACTAGGCCTTGGGCAACCTCCTCTGGAGATAAGAGCATCTCCTGCACATTCCCTGCCTCCGGACAACACCCCTGCAGGCCGACTGTGAGGCCTCGCAAGGGCCGAGGACCGGAGCAGGGCGGGAGAGACGTTGTATACCCACCCTCCTTGCCGTTTCTTCCTTCAGCTTTTTTTTCTGGCCTCTGCTCGCAGCTGCAGGGAGAACGAGGAAGAGAGGCTGTTTGGCTTGCGACGGCTTTAGGCCAGCCCCTTCAAAGTGGGGAGGCCTTCAGCCCAGCAGCAAAACCGGCAGCCACACCCTGCTGGAGACTGCGCCAAACAACCAGGCCTCACATCCTTCCTGAAAGGCTGCTTTTTTTTTTCTGGCCCCAGGGCTAGATCTCAAGATTCCAGGCTGCCCCACGACAGCGGCAGCAGTTGCAAGAGTTCCTCCTGTGTTTGCAACCAGCACGCCTCTGAATTTTGCAGCGCCTTTCTCTTGCAGAGTAGTGTGTACAATAACACAGGGGGTAAGGAAATCCAAGCATACGTAAGTGAAAATAGAAGGGGGAGTATTACATTAGAGGAAATGGCTTTGCAAAAAAAAGCATATTAGGGAAATTTGCATTAAAGATGTGAAGATGAATTTTGCACTAAATTGTCAACTGACTTTCACGAAGATTCTTTGTTTTACAGAAGAATATTGCAGAATGACCTGGAAATCTGAAGACCCGAACCTGAGGCTGGAAAAGTGAGAAAATGAGAGGAACTGGAACTCCAGCTCCCAGAATCCTTTGGGGGAAAGTCATGACAGTTTTAAGTGGCATCGTAGTGCTTAAAAGGCATAGTAGGAATGCAGTCTAAATGGCTCGAGTAGATTCATCTTCACCACAGCTTATTATGGGAAAGCTGCAGAGGACCCGCAAGTACAGTAGGAAGGGAAAAGGCATACACGCAGCATTCTATATGACTGAGTTGGTAGCTTCTTGGCTCATAAATTCCCCCCTGTCCCTAATTTCCTCTATCACATGGGTAGGCAAACTAAGGCCCCGGGGGCCGAATCCGGCCCAGTCGCCTTCTAAATCCAGCCCACAGATGGTCCAGGAATCAGTATGTTTTTATATGAGTAGAATGTGTCCTTTTATTTAAAATGCATCTCTGGGTTATTTGTGGGGCATAGGAATTTGTTCATCCCCCCCCCCCTCAAAATATAGTCCGCTCCCCCCAAAAGGTCTGAGGGACAGTGGACCGGCCCCCTGCTGAAAAAGTTTGCTGACCCCTGTTCTATCAGATACAAACACTGGCAC